CTGGTACCTCCCCCACAAAGGGTCAAAATGTTGAGTATCCGTGAAGCTCATAAAACGGGAAATTAACACCCGATTCCATTCAGACTTGGCACAACTCACTATTTCCATCAACACAAGATCTGTTATAAAGATGATAGAAATCGGACCATTCCTTCTGGTACCTCCCCCACATAGTGTTCAAGATTTTGAAAAACAAAACGCTTTAAGAAAGCGAAATAAGCATCCAACTCTCTTTAAATTTCACACATCCAAATATTTTGGCTAACACTGGATCTCTTGTGAAGATGATATATATCTGCAAAACCCTTCAGGTACCTCACCCACAATCTTCAATACCTTTAGTCACAATTTTCAATACTTTTATCTGTCATAATTTGCGAATCAAGTCGGCAATTCTTTACAACTTGCTATATCTAAATGTTTCACTTAACCAGAAACTGATATGAAAATATATAATATATCGAAACTTCGGAACCTGCCCCATAAAGGGTCAAAAGTGTGAATAAACATAACTCAAGGCTGGGGATATACATCTTTCGTCAAACCCGACTGATACTATTTTACTTCTTTTACTGTTATTTAACACGTATCCAATCTGAGTCAAAATCTCCCTTTCTATTTTAATTTTTGGGAACATGTCAAAGGAAGAATTATTCTATATCAAAAAAAAAGAATGTAGTGGACTTTCCAAGGCCTGTTCCCTATATTAGGCGCACTTCCCAACTTTGATGACACCATAAACTTTCATTTACCTATTATCCGTTAAAAAACCGGTATCAAACTAGTGGCTTTTTGTACTTTTGATACATTTAAAGTTCACATTTTCTTAAAACCCTTTCGTAGAAGCCTAGAAATGCCTTTGACAAATATTGTTCCTATTTAGAAAAACTCTCCTGTACGTTATGTTAGGTTGCTCAATGTTCCGACTAGAAAAATGTCTATGACCTTGGAATCAAATCGATCTACATTTCGCTATAGCTCTCACATATATTTTTCATCCGATTTTATATTAAAGTCTTCTCAAATTCATAATATGCACTCTATAGCAATAGTATTTGGTTCGAGGGGCCTCGCAATCTAATTACTACACTCATGTAAAATTTGATGGAAATCTATTTAGGTTAAGATGTGGCTTCCACATGTATATGTCTTTCATTCGGTTTCAAATTTTAACCGCATTAAAGCCGTAATATTCGGTCAGTAAGGATCATAGTTGATATGATTTCGCAATGTCTATCTATTAGGCGCTCCATTCCTTACTGGGTTTTAGCTAGCCTTATATATAACATCGCTTCTCTAAGCTTAAGCCCCCGTTATATTTTTGATAGTTATTTTTTCGGCAAGCTCGTTGTTTTGCAGCTTAATGCATTTTTCTACTTGAAGTCCTTGATCTTGTTCTTGAATTTCAGAATTTCTAGTTTAACAAATCCCCCACTTAAACATCGACAACATGCAATGTTGATGTGGTCGGTCGGTTATGTGTGTATGTCTGTGTTGATAAGAATGTTGATGCTGATGAGTTACTTTCTTTGGGAAACGGGAAGGCTTCGTACATCTAGGGAAGATAAAATAAGTATATTTGCAGCACCATTTGTGCATACCATTTGTGTTATGCCACATGTGGGGAAGAGGGCAGAGCGAATGTATGTTCAACATTTGTGAGAGATAGACACATCAAGCTCCTTAATATCTTGTAGGGATTATTGGAGTTACTGATGTTTTTGTTTCACAGTTTAAATTTTTATGAAGAAAACAACTTATCTTTGGGTGTTTGGATTTTTAAATAACAAAATTGTTGAAGAAAAACAAAGTTTTCCTTAAACGGCTGATGGAAGAGATTATTTAATGATTTTGCTACTTACTTAGTGAATGCTGTGAAAAATTCTTCCAAAAAATGTAATTTTGCTGTTATTTACAGAAATTAAAGACATAAACGGTTTTAGAGTTACTCAAGGACTACGAGGCCAGTGAGGTGGTTTTGGAAATGTGTATTAAATTCGGTATTGGGTGAAGGAATAGAGTTTAAATCCTGAAACTTGAAATAAATGTCACATTTGGCGTCTTTGGTTAAGATATGGAGGTGGTTTTGGAAATGTGTACTATAATTGTTCGAATAGTTCTACTTGGTACTAAATTTGCTATTAGGTGAAGGAATAGTGCTGGAATTCTCAAATTTGATATTGTGATCTCTGGAAATATGTACTATAATAGCACGAAAACTACTAAATTGTACTATATTTGTTGTTGGGAAAAAGATAGAGCTGAAGTTCAGTTTACATATGGATACGTTGAAATAGTTTTGGACAGAAAAATATGATGTGGGTCCATAGTCTAATGGTTTTGCTAATATCCTTCTCGGTAACCTTCAAAATGAAAGATTGTGAAGACTTTTTGACCTTTGGAAAACGTTGATTTTTAAAGAATGGACAAAAATGTGGATTCTTTTGCGAATATTTATTCAAGAAATATCAGATCCACAAACCTAGATATTTTAGGCATATTTTTTCATGGTCAATCAGTCCAGCAGTTGTGAATATTTTAAGAATATTTATTCAAGAACTATCGGGCAATAAATATGGATTTTTTGAATATTTTTTCAAGGATTATCGAGGTGTTTTTGAGATTTTTTTTCAAGGACTATCAGATAAACACATGTGATTTTTATTAAGAATATTTATTAAAGGACAATCAGAAGCAAGAATGTGGATCTATTCCAACCAAGATCTTTTGCACCAACAAAAGAAGTATATGTTCCAGGAATATCAGGCCAACAAATGTATTTTTTAAAAAAAATGTATACAAGGACTATTCGTTCAACAAGGGTGCCCTTATGTTGAAATATTTATTCAACACCAAGTTCCCAATAAAAATTTATGAAAATTTATTAAATTTGTAAATCTAATATCAAAATTGTACTTGCAGTAACATTATTTCATTTTTATTGCCGAAAATAGTTCAATTTGTTGCTGCTGGTTAGAAATTTTACATTGTTTTTATGGCAACAAAACAATGTACATTTAACAGCCATGTTGCTAAAAGGTTATTTTCCAGTCTAACGCTTTTATTGATAGCTTGGTTTATGACCAACTTTCTTCCCTTCTTCTTCACCTAGTTTCTCCTATTCATATCCCTGATTCATTGTATTGATGAATTTTGAAGGAAGCATTTCCAGCATTTTATGTTTTGTGTTTGGCAGAAATGTGTTTTAGTTAATATTCAGTGTATTTTAGTTGTACTGCAAGTGGAAGAGGAAGAAGTGCGGAGTAGAGATGCCAATCCAAATTTTTATGAAATTTTTGAGGGTAATAGTCCTTAAATAAATCTCCATATAAAATCAGTGTTTGTTGAGCTAATAGCTTTTGGAAAAATGTTCATAAATACTCCCACGATTTTTTGACAAGATTGTCATTAAATAAGCATTCAGACAAAACTATCTTAGTTGTGCTAATTTTTTTCAGGTTTGACTAATTTCTGCTGAATTAATCTCCACGAAAACCAACTTGTATTGGGTTAAATATAGAATTTATTTTTAAAAGGGTTTATTTAGCTCACCCCGTTTGTTTTATTATTTATTCTTGGGTCAAATTTAGTAATTCAAATTTCACCATCTTCCTGACAACCGATTAATCTGAAATTTTGTATACACTTTGGATTTTGGTGACAATACAATTATGTTTATTCATTATCATTATAAATCCAAGATGGCGGCCGCTACAAAATGGCGGATAACATAGGTTTTATCAATCCCATCAATATGGGTATCAAATGAAAGGGCTCAACAAGCAGAATACAATATACTATAAAAATTGAAATTCAAGATCGCTACAAAATGGCTGATAACAATTTTTTATCAATTCCCCCAATATGGGTATCAAAATAAAACCGAGGGGCACCTCAACTGCATTTGCATATTATAGATAATTGACGTGCCCCACGGTTTTATTTTAGTCAAGTCAAGTACTGAAAAAACTCTATAGATTATGAAAGTAGACCTACAAAGAGAAGACGTTTTGAGAGTGTATATCTTAAAGTAAGAATATATCGTAAATTATGAATATTTACAAATTGAATAAATTAATTTTTACAAATTTTTAAAACAGACTTGGAATAATAATGAATTCCTATGAAAAACATATTTGTTGGCCTAATAATTCTCGGACAAATAATCGTAAAAAACCATATTTGTTGGTCTGATAGTCCAGGAATAAATATTAAAAAAAACCCTGTTTGTTGGTCCAATAGATCTTGAATAATCATCTACATTTATGTTTCTTGTCATTTAATGAAAATTCTTAATAAAAATCACGTCTGTTTATCTGATAGTCCTAGAATAAAAATTCTCAAAAAAAATTTTTAATACTTGAATAAATATTCCTGAAATCCACATTTGTTGACCTGATAGCCCTTGATTACACATTCTTAAAAATCCAAGTTTGTTAGTCTGATAGTCCTTGAAAAAGTATTCTTAAAATATCCAAAATTGTTGGCCTGATTGTCCATTAAAAAAGTATTTTTTAAAAATCTACGTTTGAGGATCTGATTGAAAAATTGATTGTCCTTTAAAAAAATATTCTTAAAAAATGTACGTTTGAGGATCTGATAGTTCCTGAATAAATATTCTCAAAAAATCCACATTTTTGGTTATTTGGCCTTGCAAATAAGTCTGTTGGTCTGAAAAACCTTTGACAAATAAACTCAAAAAATCCACATTTGTTGGTCCGTTGTTTTGTTTGCACAAAATAGAGGGAGCATATTCTCCCTCTTTTACTTTTTTTTGGAAATTTTAGGATGAAGATGTCTCGGAATCCGTGATTTTTTAGGTATATAGTATCTTCGGCAAAAAATAAGAGGAATATTTTGGTCACAAGTCTTAAGCTTCGAGCGAGTCAACAAAGTGGACTTTTTGGTCGTTTTTTGAAAATTTGGTTAAAACTCCCTTTAAATGGGATCATAGCAAAATATTCCACAAAATTATTTGTCATAAAATTCGAATATAGCTTCTAGAACGCCAGCAATTGATTACCTAAAAGAAAAAAAGAAAAAATATTAAATATATCTGGAATAAATTTTCCGCGAAAAACGAGGTATAAAGGGAGATTTTAACTTGGATTGGATACGTGCTCAATTAACAGTAAAAAAGACAAGGACATAATTTTCACATTTTTGGTTCATAAATTTTGAATGTAATTTTCTTAAAAACTTTTCTACCTAGATATATAATTCTGAGATTTATAGCGGAAGTTAGTGCAGAATATTTCTTCTATAGACACATTTCCCCTAAAACGAAATTGTATGTTATATTCAGGCATCAACTCGAAAAAAGTGCAAGGAAATTTTGATAAAAAATACAGAATATTTTTTTTTTTTTTTGGAATAGAGATTATTTTTCGTTGGTGACTTATAGTGAAATTTAATGAAAAATATTTTTGTCTTTGACATCATTTTTCTAAAACGATGTTATATATGAGAATTTGGCATAAACTCACATAAAGTGCGGTGTTAAGCCTAAAATTAGTTTTTGATATATATGAATTTCTGGGGTTTAGGTAAGACTAAGACTTTTGGTAGAATTTAATGAATTTTTTTAGTAGAATTTTATGAAAAAAAATTGTGGAATATTTTGACTTGCTACGATACCGTTTGAGTTTCTACCCATATTTTGAAAAAAGGACCAAAAGAATTCCTTTGCTGACTCGCTTAAGGGTTAAACATTTCTACCAAAAAAATTCAAAAACTGTAAAAAAGGGGATAACTTGCTTCTCCCATTTCGGTTACTTTGCGATGTTAACTTTCAAAACGCCGATACATGTGTCTTAAATTTTTAGCTCTACTTTCATAGTCTACAAAATTTTTCTGTAATTATTTTTTGTATTGCCCATTGTTATTATTCCCATCCATGTTTTAGAGTCATCCTCGATAAAATTCTCACTGGTCTTTCCTGTTAATTTCATTTTACTCATGTTACAATTGAATTTAATCTCATTTTCCCCCATTCTCTCATCTTCTCCCTCATGCCCCCCTCAAAAAGATAAACTTTGTTTCGAAATGTTGCTTGTAAATATTTTTACAGTTTACCGTATTAAAGTTTATTAACTATTTCTAGTTTTATTTCAATCAATTCGTAGCTTGTTTGATCGTCTGTTAGCCATGGTTGCGCAGTTGCTGTGTTTGCGTCTGTCGCCAATAAAGTTTGGATTTGCACTTTACTGAAATTGTATATGTGCACACGTATATGTGTTGGTGAGGCAGGGCGATGGCGAGGAGAGTGTCAGTTTAGGTATATACTAAACTATAAAACTTTGTTGCTGGAAGAGCTGATTTAATGACTACGCGGAGCAAAATCTGACAATCAATGTCTACAAAGAGAAAAAAGGGATTATAAATAAATTCTAGATGTGATATTGACAGAGCTCTGGTTTGCTGGATTTTACTCACGAATGAAAAAAAAAACTCGCGAAAAGGAGTAATCGAAGAGTACGAGTCGTACAAGAAGAGACTGTCTATTTTTTTTTTTAGTTTTTTCTCAAATAAGAAACATGGGTCTTATATTTTTTTTGTCAACTCCCCCTACAAAAGGTCGAAAGGCAAAAGAGATTTCCGTTTTACTTGAATTTGTCTGCATCTTAACATGCCTGCCAAACTTTGATCGGATGCTAAATAGAAACAGATTTTAAATATTAAGAAAATGCCTTTCACGGACATCTTGGATAAGAATTTTACTTTTTATACCCTCAGTCATATGGCTATAGACGGTATATATCATTTGATATGGTCAAAATGTGCTGTAACGAAATATCGGTTTTAGAACCTAGTACTCTTTAGACCAAATCCGTTTCAGGACATTTGCAGTCGATCTAGGGGTGTCCTTATCTTTGATTGGTATGCACTATAAGTCTTGAATGTAGTGTCCTGTTTTTTTTTCAATTAAATTTAGATCTTGTTCGGAGATAAGCAATATCGGTGCACTCCTTCAAAAAAGCCAAAAATTAAAAAAAAATAATTTGACTTAGAAAAATAGAAAGAATTTTCCAATTTTGTGCAAACTTTGTAGATCCTAAATATTTTATCAGTGCAAGGTCAGGTGCGAAAATGGACAATATCGACCAGTTACATCAAGAACCTCCCCCACGAAGGGTCAAAACTTTGAATTATTATAACCCTTATAGAATTTAAATTGGAGTCTGATTGTCTGAATTTAACAAATACCAATATTTTTATGAATACAAGATTTGGTGTGACGATGGGATATATCGGCCGACTACATCTGGCACCTCCCTCACATAGGGTCAACATTTTGAATAATTAATTTTAATAATTAATTTTTGTGAACACAAAATCTTGTGTGACGATGGGATATATCGGTCCACTCCATCTGGTACCTCCCCCACAAAGGGTCAACATTTTCAATAATTATAACTCTTATAAAATGTGAAATAAGAGCCCGATTCAAAATTCAAATTTCGGACATCCCAATATTTTTATATACTCCACCATACTATGGAGGGTATATTAATTTTGTCATTCCGTTTGTAACTCCTCGAAATACTCATGTCAGACCCAACAAAGTATATATATTCTTTATCAGCGCAAAATTCTAAGACGATTTAGCCATGTCCGTCTGTCTGTCTGTGTGTCTGTCTGTTGTAATCATGCTATATTTCGAACAAATTGAGATAGAAGGCTAAAATTTTGCACACATGTATATTTTGCCAGTAGGCATGTTAAGTTCGAAAATACGTAGGTCCAAGTTATCATATAGCCCCCATATAACGGTACCTCCCGATATTCGGTATGTTGATGATTTTAGCGACATTATTCACCGGAAATGTACCACTCCTTCTGGTACCTCCGACACAAAGGATCAAAACTTTAAATATCCATGAAGCTCATAAAACGCGAAATTAACATCCGATTCTATTTAGATTTGGTACATCTCAACATTCTATCATCACAAGATCTGTTATGAAGACGGTAGAGATTTGGACCATTTCTTTTGGTACCTCCCCCACATAGAGTTCAAGATTGGAAAAACAAAACGCTCAAAGAAAGCGAAATTAACACACAACTCTCTCCAAATTGCATACATACCAACAACATTTTTGCTAACACAAGATCTGTTGTGAAGATTATATATATTTGCGAACCCCTTCCGGCACCTCACCAACTAAAGGTCATACGTTTCAATACCTTTATTTGTCATTACTTGCCAAACAAGTCAGCGATCTTTTACAACTTGTTATATTTAAATATTTCTCTCAACCCGAAACCTGAGATGAATATGGAATTTGTGATTTCGCATAAAATTCGATATAAATGTTCGAATATTTTGTAATTTTTCTCATACCAATAATTTTCTGTATTAGACGAAATATGAAAATGGAATATTTCGGTGGAGAATCATAACAAAATTCAAAATATATTTAAATAATCGAACATTGGCTGAGGGTATACATCTGCCGACAAAACCGACAGATATTTTGATACCCTACACCACAAGGTAGTCAGGGTATTAAGTCTTTGTGCATTTGTTTGTAACAGGCAAAAGGAAACGAGATAGACCCATAGTTATTTTTAAGGATCTCCATAGAATCACTTTCTGAGTTGATTTATACATGCCAGTCCGTCTGTCCATCTGTCCGTCTGTCTGTCCATGTTATTCTTGTGAACAAAATGCAGGTCGCATTTATTATCCGATTATGATGAAATTTTCCAAACAACATTTGACGAACCCTATTGAAATTGGAGATAATCGGTAAAAATTTAGATATAGTTCCCATATATATCTTGGTCCGATTTTCATTTTAATGTGCACCAAACTTGTAATATCAGCCCGAATAGTATGGAATTTTGCACGTGCGATCAGATTGGACTTGAAAAAAAGTATGCCAAATTTGATCGAAATCGGTTCAGATATAGCTATAGCTCCCATATATATTATTCATCCGATTTGTTATTTTTGTCCTCCGCAGCCGTAATATGCACTCTGTAACAACATTATTTGGGGAGATTTATCAGATATAGCTCAAAAATACCTTTGCTAATTTTTTTCGAGATCGGTTCAGATTTGTATATAGCTCCCATATATAACTTTGTCCGATTTACCTTTTATTGTACACCAAACGTCTAATATTTGCCCAAATGGGATGGGATTTGGCACTTACGACCAAATTGAGTCTAGAAGCTGGCATGCAAAATTTGGTGGAGATCGGTTCAGATATAGCTATAGCTCATCCGATTTGTTGTATTTTTACCCACAGCCGTAGTATGCATTCCGTAACAACGATATTCAGGGAAATATATCAAATACAGCTCAGAAATACCTTTGCCAAATTTTATCAAGATCGGTTCCGATTTGGATGTAGCTCCCATATATATCTTTATCCAATTTCAAATTAATTGTGCACCAAATGGGCAATACAAGTCCGAATTTAAAAGATACAAATGCTTCGGCATATTTAGTCCTTTGAACTTTAAATAAGAATTATAATCATAGCGTGTATGATTGAATTCTCCCATAAAAACTTTTAATTGTTATGTGGAGGTCTACTAAATTAGTAAAGCACGACTTTAGGACTTATTTAACTGGTTTACATTGTTTTACTGCAAATTTAAGATATTTCTATTCAAGGTCAAAATCTCCGTTAATACTTGAATCTCTGGGGAAAGTGCCAAAGGAAGAAACATTCTATATACAATTTTCTTGTAGGTCTCGGAACAAAAGAAAAGTGTAAACCTAACATGTATCACCAAAATTGGTCTACAAACAGAACTTTTTTATTTTCAGCAAATTGAGAACTTTTTTTTAACAAATAACTCCTAAAATAAATAATAATAAGTAATAAATAATAATAAATTTTTTCAGTGTATAATCCATTGCTTAGCTCTCCTGTAGTTAAATTGTAGAAAAAAAGAAAAAAGTTTCCATTAAACTGTTTTAATTTCCGTTTATCGAAGTTGAATACATTCCGATGGCATCAGCAAAAGGATATGCAGGGAGACAAGTAAAAGTCTTATTTTAAGCACATTAAACTAGTCTCTTCCAACTAATTATGGAATTTAAATATTATGCACTTAAATTAAGTATCTCATTTATAAATAGGACATTTATAATCAGAGCTGTCATAGAAATCAATTTTGTCACTATTGGTTTTAAAAACGACAAGAAAAAATTATTTGATGTCATGAAAATCAATGTTATCGGTTTTATTTTGGAATTAGAATTTTATCGGTTTTGGTTGTCATAGAAGCCAATGTTATTGGTTTTGTTATTGGAAATAAACCAAGTTGCTTAGAGCTGTCACTTTTCATTTGCTTTGGATTTTTAAAACAATTTTTAAAGGATATTCAAAGGACTAAAAATGTGGATTTTTTTAACAATTTTAAAGGATATTCAAAGGAATAAAAATGTGGATTTTTTAAAGAATTTTTAAAGGATATTTAAAGGACCATAAACGTGGATTTTTTTAGAGAATTTTTAAAGGACTATAAACGTGGATTTTTTAAATATTTTTTTTAAGGATATTTAAAGGACTATAAACGTGGATTTTTTAAAGATTTTTAAAAGGATATTTAAAGGACTATAAACGTGGATTTTTTAAAGATTTTTTAAAGGATATTTAAAGGACTATAAACGTGGATTTTTTAAAGGATATTTAAAGGGCTATACACGTGGATTTTTTAAAGGATATTTAAAGGACTATAAACGTGGATTTTTTAAAGGATATTTAAAGGACTATAAAAGTGGATTTTTTAAAGGATATTTAAAGGACTATAAACGTGGATTTTTTAAAGGATATTTAAAGGACTATAAACGTGGATTTTTTAAAGGATATTTAAAGGACTATAAACGTGGATTTTTTAAAGGATATTTAAAGGACTATAAACGTGGATTTTTTAAAGATTTTTGAAAGGATATTTAAAGGACTATAAACGTGGATTTTTTAAAGGATATATTTATAGCGACTTATTCCTTTTTTATTTACTTTACTTTTACTGATATTTCAATGACAAATAAACAAACAACACGTGTAAGCAACAACAGATGTTTCGAACATTGGTTTTATTTACATTCGAAATTGACAAAACCAACTTGGTTTCATGACACCAAATTAAACCAACATTGGTTTACAAAAACGACAATAAGCAAAACCGACATGGTTTCTGTGACAGCCCTGAATAATTCTGTAACTGTGAGTTATGCTTTAAGGTTATGATGGCAATCTTTATAGAAAAACGAAAGAGTAGTGAAATAACGAAACAACTGAATCTAGAATATTGAAACTTTGCACGAGGACCAGTCTTGGTGTGTAGGCCTGGGTTTTTTGGAAATTCGTCGTAGAGTACAAAAAGTACTAAAATGTACTAACAATTTAATAATTGTATTGGACAAACAATTAAGCTATAGTTTAGAATGAGAGTCACCGATGGGGTGCAGGATAGATGTAACAAAGGGTTTTTAGAAATTCGAACTTGAAGGTTGTGAAAAGTTTTGAAATGGTTCTAAAATTTTAAATTGCTACTATTTGGAATGATGTGAACGGATAGAGTAAGTTTGATATGCACCACTTACATGGTGGCTTTGGAAAACTGAAAATTTATCTTAGGGTCGCTATTCATGCGTAGCCTGGACATATGGAGGTGGTTTCAGAAATGGGTTCAATATTTGTACAAAAAGTACTAAATGAGACTAAATTTAGTATTGGGTAAAGGCATAGAGGAGATACAATTCTGAAATTCGATATTCGGATTTCTAATGGTATCTGTGATTAAAATAATCGAAATCGAAAAGTACTAAATGGTACTTATTTTGGTATTTGCTGGAGAACAAGAGATAACATTCTGAATTTTGATATTTAGATTACTGATGGTATCAATGTTTGAGATTTGATGGTGGTTTCGAAATGCATCCTACATTTCTACGAAAATTACCAATAGTACTAAATTTGGTATTGGCTTAAGGAATGGAGCTGAAATTCTGAAATTTGATATTAAAAAGACTGTTGGCATCTCTGGTTAAGATATGGATGTGGATGAAAGGATAGAGCTAGAATCAGCAGATTTGGTATTGGGGCCTTTGTTATTATCTGTAATAGAGATATGGAGGTAGTTTTGGATATTTGTACTATAATTGTACGAAAAGTACTGAATGGTACTAAATTTCATATAGGGTGAAGAGATAGAGCTAGAATCCCGAAATTCGATATTGAGTTCTCTGTTTTTATCTGGAATTGAGATATAGAAGTGGTTTTGGAAATGTGTACTTTAATGGCACGAAAATTACTAAATGGTACTAAATTTAATATAGGGTGAAGGGATAGGGATGAAATTCGGAAATTTGATATGTACATTGCTGATGGTATCTGGGATTGAGATTTGGCGGTGGTTTGGAAATCCTATCCTAGTCCTATCTTTGTACGAAAAGTTCTAAATGGTACTAAATTTGGTATTGGGTGAAGTGATAGAGCTTTTATCTTCAATGTTGATATAGATCTCCCTGTTGGTATCTGAAAATGAAATATGGAGATGGTTTTGGAAATGCAAACTATGTTTGTACGAAAAAGTACTAAATTTGGGATTGAGTCAATAGAGCTGGAAACCTTAAATTTGATATTGAGATGTCTATTGATTTCTGAAATCGAGATATGGAAGTGGTCTTAGAAATATGTACTATAATTGTTCGAAAAGTATTAAATGGTACTTAATTTGGTATTGGGTGAAGGGATAGTACTGACATCCCAAAATTTGATCTTGAGGTCTCTGTTGCTTTCTGGAATTGAGATGTGGAAGTGGTTTTGGAAATGTGTAGTTAAATTATACGAAAAGTACTACATAGCACACAATTTGGTATTTGATAAAGGAATAGGGCCGAAATTGGATATGAAAGTCGCTGTTGGAAAAATGTAAGAATCTAGATGCATGCAATTGTCTTGGACTTGGATCTATTTCAATATTGTTTTTGTACCTACTCAGAAGGACAGACAGTGAAAAAAATAATATTGCTGAACATTAGATATTTTCTACTCTATTTCAATTCCTTTTTTTATTGAAAAACTTGCATAAAACCATAAAATGTACAATTAAAAGCCGTTACAAATTCAGGCATATATTTTGGCCATCCATTACCATAGAACGATCCAGAGCTCCAGCTACAATCGCGATAAAGTGAATTGACAAAGAACAATTGTTGTTGTGTGAGATTTTGCAATTGAGTTTCGATAATTGTACGATCCTCTGAAATGGGTGATCCATGGTCTGGCGAGAACAGGGCATGATATGCAGCCTTCAGACTGCCAACATGGGCTAGCATATTTTGATCCTTTTCATTTATACCTGGAATTTCCAGAGATGATAGAATGCCCGATGCCAGTATGGTGCCTAGGGAACTGTATTTGTAAATATTTTCATAGTATGGGTGATAAATTGGTGGTATCAGATAATAGCTGGGCAGTAGCAGGACATTAATGGATGGTAGATAGCGGGTATACAATTCATCAAATTTCGGCATACCTTCGGAGATATCAAAAAATATTTCAGGATTTTTGTTCCATTCCGACGCCAGGGTGGTTTTTTGATTGAATTCGGTATAGAGATTAAGTAGCTGTAGATGGTTACTGAAATAGTGATAGGGATTTAGGTTGATGTTGCTGTAATAGGCTTCCAGGATTTTCACGGTATCCTGTCGCGGTAGGTTGCCTATTTTGAGTTTTATTTCACCGAGTTTCCTAAGAGTCTCTGCCGGAACGGTGTGTTTCGGCTCCACCTCAACAAGGGTTTGATTTAGATATTTTAAAGTTTGATTAAATATCTGTTGGATTTCATTGTGTTCATCCTGTGATAGGGGATGTAAGTCTTCAAATATCCAGGACATGGCCATGGGAAGTAGACTTCGGGTCAGCTCGATGCAGGGTATGTTATGTTGTTGATATAAATAGACCAGGAAACGCATTTCCACCAGGCGACTTAGTCGTGCCGGACGATATTCTTTAATTAGCTTATCGACGGCCTCGAAATAGGACCTGTGACTTAGTGTCACCAACATTTCTTCGTTTAGTTTGTCGTTGTCCAATATCAATTTGACGTAACGCCTTAACCACTCGAAAGGTAAATCTTTGAGTTGCAGAACTTCTTCGGTATGATTGGTCTCCTTGATTTCAATATCTTTCAGGCGGGTCTCAAAGTCCATTACTTCATTATAATAATCGATCATATCCTTCTTACCCGGGGGTATTTCAATGGTTTTGTTTATCTGATAGACATTGCCGTTCATAAGACGTTGGAAACCATATTTCTGGGTGTTGCGACTCAAATGCATTATCAAAAACTCCTTATTGGGGCCTGTGCTGGCCAGAGATTCTTCTATGAAAATGTCATTCATTCCATATTTCCTGGCCACAGCCAGGACATGGAGCCAATCATATTCCTCGGTATCATAGTCATCATCATCATCATCATCAGCATTATCTCCACCATCCCCACCTTCCTCCTCATAATTGTAGTCAGCAATGAAGACCGGTTTCTGTGGAGCCAACAATGCCCACTTGATGTGCTCATATTTTTTCAACCATTTGATATAGTGCATGACATTCAGCTCGGGATTCGCCTGACAGGATTTATAGAAATTATTGGCCTGCCTCACAAATCTCGGTTTACTTTTCAGCAATTTTTCATTGCTGAAATAGTCCTGAAATTCTCGATTGGCCACATATTTGATTTTGTCCCTCACGGACATATAATCGAATTGATCCTGTGGCTGTTTTGGCCACCAACCGGCACAGCTATACGAATGGAATTCCAGGCAAGGATCTCGTTCTGTATCTAAGGCTTCGGCAAGCTGTTTTTCATATTCGTGATTTACCCTCTCCCGCAAAGAGTCCTCAGCATGACACAACCAATTTCCGCCAGCAATTGCAAATATCGCAAAAAATATTTGCACAGATTTCATTTTCTTTCAAACAAACTTCAAAATCTCCGTTTTACTATCCGCGTATGGCGTAAAATCTAAACTGTGCCTACCCACCATATCGCCATTCAATTTATATAATCTACGTTTTGTAGATAAGAGACAGGGAGATGCTATGTTGCATTTGAATGGAATTCCTCACAATTATTGATAATCGGGGGCAGAAGAGATTTTCGTTTTGAAATCTGAATGAAAACAAATTCAGTACAAAGGTCAGCATAGAATTTCGTCAGTGTCAAGGTTGTATTGATTAAAAAGGAATGAAGTAAAAAAATGCTGATTCTTGGATTTTGGGGGAACTTGGGCGATACGCTACTTTACTATTTTCTTCTATTGGACATTGTAAACTGGTAAGGAGACTATTTCAAAACCATATCAACATCTAAGCCCTAGAAATCCACAGGGATCTCAATATCTAATTTATGGACTTCAGCTCTATTCCTTCACCCAATACCAAATTTAGTACATTTTAGTACTTTTCGTACAATTATAGAAGACATTTCCAAACCACTTCCATATCTCTATTCCAGATACCAACAGAGACCTCAACATCAAAGTTAGAGGATTCCAGCCTTATCCTTTCTCTCAATATCAAATTTAGTACCATTTGGTACTTTTCGTACGATTATAGTACACATTTCCAAAACACCTCCATATCTCAATTTCAGATACCAACAGATAGGTCAGTATCAGATTTGAGGATTCCAGCCCCGCTCCCTCATCCAATACCCAATGTTGTACCATTTAGTATTTTTGTACATTTATAGTACACATTTCGGAGATTATAGTACAAACGGAGATCTTAATATCAAATACCAGAAAGGGATGGACCGGTATCTATCATCTTCACACCAGATCTTGTGTTAGTAGAAATATTAGAATTTGTGAAGTTTAGAACGCATCAAATGTTTATTTCTCAATTTATGAGAGATGTAATTATTCAAAATTTCAACCCGTTATATGGGAGCTACCAGAAGAAGTGGTCCGATATATTTCATATTCATACCATATATTTTGTCGGAAAATTAATCCTTATATCGCATGTTTTTACGGTTATAATTATTCAAAATGTTGACCCGCTGAGGGGGAGGTACCAGAAGGAGTGGACCGATATCGCCCATCTCCGAACGATCTAAGTTTGACAATAATATGAGAATGAAGCAAGTTTGGATCAAATCGGATATCCCCCCTCGAGAGAGTACGCACCAGCCAAACAGATAGACGGACGGACACCTCTAGATCCACTCCAAATGTCCACTCCTGGACTGAATCCATCCAAAGCGACATAGGGTCTTAAACTGTTATTTCGATGAGGCACGTTTTGGCCGTATCAAGTGATACGTACATACCCTCTGAAGCGATATGGTTGAGGGTATAGTAAGGCGTTACACGAAATTTTGTAACGAATCCAAAATTTTAAGGTGAACTTTTCGCCGGCAAAGTAGCGGTCACTTTATAGTAGTATTGATAATATTTTGCACTGAGGGCTTACTTAGAACTCAAATGTAGAAAGAAACTTGAAATCGGGGTATAGCTTTATATAGAGGCTAAGTCAAAGGATTTTTGAAGTAATCTAAATTTGTGTCACAAAAATTTTCGCGGTTCTGATTATACTGAAAAACTTTTCCATTAGCTCTTGAAAATCGTCGTAAGTAGTACAGGCCAATGTGTTTTGATAGTCCTTAGGATAGTATACGATTGTCCCTGAAAATTGTCTTAACAAGCACCTCTGTTGGCCTGTGTGAATGTCATGAAAAACCTGTTATTTGTCCTTGAAAAATTTCTCCTTTCCTCCTGACACAAATAGCCTTAAACAGTCCACACTTTCGGTTCGGAATAATCCAAAACTTTGTTTCTTTTAAAATTAGAAAAAAAAAGGCGTCGAAAAATCCTTTTTTATACCCTCCACCAAGCACAGTATGGAGGGTATATTAGGTTCGTCATTCCGTTTGTAACTCATCGTAATAATCATTTTAGACCCAACAGCGTAAAATTCTAGGACGATTTAGCCCTGTCCGTCCGTCTGTTGTAATCACGCTACAGTCTAAACGAATTAAGATAGGAAGCTAAAATTTTGCACAGATCTCTCTTTTGTCTGCAGGCAGGTCAAGTTCGAAGATGGGCTATATCGGTCCACGATATCCTATAGCCCCCATATCACGGTACCCCCCAATATTCGGTATTTTAATGATTTTACCCACATACGCACAAGGAGTTCCTTGTGGGTACTTTATACCTCGGAGGAGAATTATCTATATAGGTCGACGATATCGAATAGCCCCCATACAACGGTACCCCCGATATTCGGTATTTTGATGATTTTAGTCACATTTTCAACGGAATTGTCTGAAATTCCACACAAGGAGTCCCTTATGAGTATTTCACCCCTGAGAGAGAATTGTATATATAGGTCCACGATATCGTATAGCCCCCATACAACGGTACCCCCGATATTCGGTATTTTGATGATTTTAGTCACATTTTTCAACGGAATTGTCTGAAATTCCACACAAGGAGTTCTTTTTGAGCACTTTACCCCCTGAAAGAGAATAGTCCATATAGGTCCACGATATCGTATATCCCCCATATAACGTTACCCCCGATATTCGGTATTTTGATAATTTTAGCTATATTTTCCAATGGTATTGTCTGAAAATCCAAACAAGGAGTTCTTTGTGAGCACATTAACCCCTGAAAGGTATTTGTCTATATAGGTCCACGATATCGTATATCCCCCATATAACGGTACCCTCCGATATTCGGTATTTTGATGATTTCAGCCACATTTTTCAATGGAATTGTCTGAAATTCCACACAAGGGGTTTCTTGTGAGCACTTTAACCCCGGACATAGAGTTCTCTTTATAGGTTAACGATATCGTATAGCCCCCATATAACGGTACCCTCCGATATTCGGTATTTTGATGATTTTAGCCACATTTCCCAATGGAATTATCTGAAAATCGACACAAGGAGTTCCTTGTGAGTACTTTACCCCCAGACATAGATTTGTCTATATAGGTCCACAATATCGTATATCCCCCCATATATCGGCATCTTCCGTTATTAGGTATTTTAAAGATTTTGACAGAATTTAAAATGGATTTTTTTTTTTGAATATTCCAAATGGTGGAGGGTATTCAAAGTTCGGCCCGGCCGCTTTTTTGCATGTTTGTCTTTGAATACATTGGAAATTAAAATTACGCCTATGTATCCGATATCCCTGGAAAAATTGTCATTAGGTCCTTAAACAATCCTAACTATAGGTCCGATAATTCAATCTATAAAACTAAATCGGCCATATCTCATCCCCAAAATTCCCTCACGTAAGGTATCGCACTCAGTCCGAACCATCCACTCCCAGTAGGGTTTAGAAATTTTTTATAATTGTTTATGTTATTTGAGAAGCAAATTATGTTTTTCAATTTTAATTAGAATACCCTATTCTTCCCAAATATAAAATAAAAATTAATTGCCACAACAATTTATATATTCACCAAAATGCTGATAATGATGACGGCGGTGGCTAGTTCATGACCTTCCGCACTGCTGCCAATAATGCATTCAATCGTTTCAGAGGCTATCAACAAATTTGCTATAAATGTTGAGGCATGACAAACAACTTTGCCAGTTCAAATAACATAGTTTTAGAAAGTGAAACTGTGAAGCTGGGGAAAATTTAAAGCCAAAAAAAAAAAAGAGGAAAACAATTTCAACAAAAATGAAGCTATGGCAAATATGGTTGATATTTGCTGTAACCCTAGTGAGCCATCAATGCCTGGGCGAACATACGCATGAGACCGTCAATTTGGAAAAACAAAAAACCATTGTCAAATCCATGAACCTGGATTCCGAACCCTGCAGTGATTTCCTTAGATACAGTTGTGGCAACTGGTGGCGGGATCACAACAGGAATCAAAACTATTACAATGATCATTTGGAGTATTTGGAATACAATGTGACCATGGAGCTGATAGGACATTTGGAGAAACCCAATGTCATGGAAAATAAACCAAAATTCGCCAAGACGGTACAGACCTTATACAACTCCTGTATGAACTCGCGCACATTTGTTGCCCACTATTACATGATTGTCCTAAAGCAATTGGAGGGCATCGATTGGATGCTCTTGGCCAAAAATGAAACCAGACAGTTGGATTACGATTGGTTGCAGATATTTGCTGTGGCCTCCCGATATGGCATGAAGGATATTCTGCTGGATGAATACATTGCACCCATGGAGGGCGAGCCAACACAGATGGCCATACACCTAAGAAAATATGCCAATCGCTATGGCTTCGATAGAATGTCAGACCAAGATTTTCGAAATTTGCGTGATACCATGGACACCGAGGTGGATGTGAATGGTTACTACAAAGACATTGAGAATTTTGAGTCAAAACTTAAGGAACTTGAAAAGTTTAAACATCCCACCAGATCCAAGAAAATATGGCAGGTGCAAGATATACCCTATGAGTGGTTGAAAAAATATTTGAAATATTTAGTGGAACCGGTTCACAGCCTGGATCCTCATATGCGGGTGGTGGTCAGCGATTTGGAATATTTAAAGGCTCTGGATGAATTTTTAATGAAAAGTGATCCGAAATTTTTACGAATTTACATGGAATTGCGTTTTCTAAGTTATTTCGATAACAATGTGCTTGAGCTCCGAAAAAGGCCATGTTTGAAGTCCGTGCAGTGGATCATGCCACTGGCAATGCATTGGATCTATGAGGATATGCACCCTCTAAATGTTGGGGCACACAATGAAATCCAGCACATGTTCTCAAGGATATTGCAAGAAATTAACAATACTGTACACCAGGATCGTTATAGCGCCATTGATCCTGAATCCTTGCACAAATTAAACACCATGCAGTTGGTAATTGGAAATTTACCCCGGTCAAATACCATTGAATTTCTGGAGCAGCATTACGCCTCAATTACGGTGAAATCGCAATTTTATAAAAACTTTCTGACCATACAACAGCAAAATGCAAAGCGAATGCTTGAGGCTCTCTTCAATCCGACACCAGCTGCCACCGAATTCTATGATAAATTTGAAAATCTACCCTATGTTGCTGTCAATAAGCCGAAATACTACCCCGCCCATAATGTAATGCTCCTGCCGAGCTATTTGCCAAGGACATCCGAATATCATCCGGAATTTGAGGACATTTTCAAATACAGTTTCTTGGGTTCAACACTGGCCTCAGCTGTTTATTCTACCCTTACATTTAGGACATTTGATTACAACCAATTGCAAATGGTCAAAACTGTGGGGGGCATACAGGCCTCTTATGACGTGTTTTTCGCCCACAATTCTCACGAGCATTTGGAAGTCAAGGGCGACGCTAAAGACCTATCCTTGCGACAATTGTTCCTCATCAATGTCATGCAAAAGTATTGTGGCACGTTTGTCAATGAGTATGCCTTGAATGCTATTGTTACATATTTACGCGATTTCGGCGAGGTCTTCGATTGCAAGTTCCATAAAATAATTAAAACATTTAGGAATAAGTAAAAAACAATAATTAAATAAAATTGTAGTGTGGATTAATTTATCTGAGGCTTATGTCGCATTTTATTAGAAATATAAATATTCAAAATTTTAATCAGTTGTGGGGGAGGTAGCAGAAGAAATAATCTGACTTCACATCTGTTCTGGTTCTGATAGAAATATTGGAATGTGTCTAGTTTAAAAATATTCGGATGCTAATTTCAAGTGTTATAATCTTTCGGTTATTCAAATTTTTGACCCATTGTGGGGGAGGTACCAGTAGGAGTGATCCGATATATTCCATCTTCAAAGCATATCTTGGGTTGGAATAAATATGGGGATATGTGAAATTTAAAGGGAATCGAATGCTTATTTCAAGTCATACTTAATCAAAATATTGATCCGCTGTGGGGGAGGTACGAAAAGAAGTGGTCAGATATGTTCCATACTCACGCCATATTTTGTGTTGGAAGAAGTATTGGGATCTGCTGAGTATCAAAGGAATCGGGTGCTTCGTTCGCATTTTATACGAGTTATAACTATTCAAAATTTTGACCCATTTTGAGGAAGGTACCAGAAGAGGTGGTCCTACATATTATGTCTTCACATGTGATCTTGTCTTGTCTCTAAAAAATATTGGGATGTGACAAGTTTGAAAAAAATCAGATGCTCATTTCACGTGTTATGAACTTCATGGTTATTCAAAATGTTGACCCTCTGTGGGGTCAGAAGGAGTCTACCGACATATTTCATCCTCACACCTCATCTTTTGTTGGAAGATATCTTGGGATGTGGGAAATTGTGAAGGGAATCGAATGCTTATTCATTCCTCTTTTTATGCCAGTCATAACTATTCAAAATTTTAACCCCGCTGTGGGGGAGGTACGAGATAAAGTTGTCCGATATATTCCATATTAACGCCCTATCCTGTTTGGGGAAAAAGTATTGGGATCTCCTGAGTTTGAAAGGAATTGAATGCTTCGTTCGCATTTTGTAAGAGTTATAATTATTAAAAAATTTGACCCTTTGTGGGGGAGGTACCTTATGGAGTGGGTCAATATCGTCCATTTTAGGATTTGCCAAGTTTGAGCAAAATCAAATGATTCTTTCTTGTTCCATATGGTAAATTATTTTATGTGAAAATGTAGCCCTTTTGTGGGGAAGGTACCAGAAGGAGTGGAACGATGCAGCCCATCTCCGAACTTGATCTAAGTTTGACAATTCGAATACTCCCATAGACAGCTATCGTTTGCTCCCAACAAGACATACGGATGGACGGACACCCCTAGATCGACTCCAAATATCCTGTAACAGATTTGGTCCAAAGAAACCTTGGATCTAAAACTATTAGACACCAACGGTGACATTTATATCAAATATCAGAATTTCAGCTCTATTCCTTCCCCCATACCAAATTTATTGCTATTTAGAACTTTTCATACAGTTATAGTACACATGTTCAAAACCACATCTATATCTCAATCCCTGATAACAACAAAGACTTCAATATCAAACTTGAGGATTGCAGCCCTATCCCTTCATAAAATGTGATACCATTTATTACTCTTTGTACAATAATAGCATACATTTTCAAAACCACCCCCATGTCTTGACGATAGACACCAACAGTGACATGTATATCAAATTTCAGAATTTGAGCTCTATTCCTTTACCCAATAACAAACATAGTACTATTTAGTACTGTTTGTTCAATTACAGTTGAAATTTCGAAATCCCCCTTCATATTTCAATTCCCGACCCAACAGTGACATCCGTATCAAATTTCAGGATTCCAACCCTATTCCTTCATCCAATTCCGAATATAGTACCATTTAGTATTTTTCGTATAAATATCAAATCACAGATACCATAAGTAATCTAAATATCAAATTTCAGAATTTAATTTCTATTCCTTTACCCTATACCAAATTTAATACCATTTAGTACTTTTCGTACAGTACACATTTTTGAAGCCACCTCCTTATGTCCACATGTAGTTCACATTTTCAAAACTACCTCTTTATTGAAAATCTACCGCCAACACAGAACCCAGTACAAAATTTCAAAATTCCAGCTTTCGCTCCGTTCACCCTGAACCGAACTGTTTCAAATTTTGTACCATTTAGTACCGGTCGTACATTAAGAAGACATTTACGAGAACCACTTTCATATTTGAAACTTCCTTTATAACCTTGATTGTGATGCCAAAATTTCAAGGTTTTTAGCTCTATTCATTCACATTACACCAAATGGTACAAATTTAGAACTTAAGAACCATTTTAGAACTATCCTACACTCCTTCAGTGACTTTCATTATAGAATTGTATCGCATGTCGTTTATCTAATACAAATTATTTAATTTCTAGTACATTTTAGTACTTTTCATACCCCATTTAGTACGGATTTCCAAAAACCCAGCACCAACACTGACCCTCGTGCAAATTTTCCAGATTCTATCTTCAGCCGTTTCGCCTGGGCGTTAATTCTCGGCCAGTCAGTTACGTTCACTACGCTTTTACAAAGGGTGTTTTTCTAAGAGCTTGCTTATTTGAAATTTAATAAAAAACAAATGTCAAAATATAAAATGATCAGATAGATTAATGGGTCTCGAGCCTTGGAAATAGCTCTCTGAAATTGTTTTTTGTTCCAGGTACACAAATCCCTACCCATGTAACAATATTTAAATGGAATAAGTTATAGATAAAAGTTCACACACTCGTCTTTTTTTTTAGAGAAAAGCACCAACATTTATTTGACTTCCGGAATCATTCTCAAAAAATGTTCATAAGTTTTTGGAATTTACAATCAAAAACCCTTACGAAATCTGGCAAATATAGAAAAACTTCGTTAAAGTCAAATTCGGCAACATCGCCACAATGCAGCTGCATGGCATTGATAAAGAACACTTTTTTCAACGACAATTCCTTAAGATCGCCCTTAAACCTCAAATGCTCCTCCTCAGTATTGTTAGCGAAAAATAGGGCATAGGCCGTGTGTATGCCACCCATAGTTATGAGCATTTCCCTATGCTCTTCATCGAGACCGCTAAAGCTAAGTGACGAATATACTGCTGAGGCCAGTGTCGTACCCAGAAAGCTGTACTTAAAAATGTCTTCAAATTCCGGATGATACACTGGCACCCTTAGCAAATAGCTGGGTAAGAGCATTAGATTATAGCTTGGAAAATAGATCGGCTCATGAACAGCCATTGGGTGTAATTTTTCAAGTATATCATTAAAGCCGGCAGATTGAGAGTTGGGCACGGGCATGGCGAGAGCTTGCAGCATTTGTTTGGCATGACGTTGTTTTAGGGTTAATAGGTTTTTATGGAATTCGGGCTGAACAGTAAAGTCAAAATAGTATTCCTCTAGAATTTCAGTGGTGTTTGGTCTGGGTAGATTTCCAATCATCAAACGGATCTTGTTCAAATTTTCCAAAGTTGCCGGATCCACAACATTCGAGTGATGAACATGACGTGTGGCGCTGATGACTTGTTGCAATATCTTTGAGAACATTTGCTGGATTTCGTCTTCTGTTCTAGCGTCCAATGGGTGTATATCTTCATAGATCCAATGCATTGCTAATGGCATATGGTCCCCTGCCACCCCCACGCAATGCATTTCTTCTCCCAGGTGCCGGCCACTTTTTCGCAAGTTGTTAAGGAAACGCATTTCCATATATCGACGTAAAAATCTCCCATCGCTAGTCATTAAAAGCTCATCTAAAGCTTTTAAATATTCCACATCACTCACTATCACGTGCATCTGGGGATCTAGTGTGAGTTCCGGTTCCAACAGGTATTTTAGATATTTTCTCAACCATTCGAATGGTAAATTTCGTAATTGTATTGTTTCCTTGGAACCGGCTGGATATTCGAGATTTTCAATACGTATTAGCTTCCTTTCAAACTTTCGAATATCATTATAGAAATTCTTGGGATATTTGGCCGAATCCATGGTTTTATTTAAATGAATCACATCCCGGGGTGCTATTTTTTTAAAACCATACTCCCGAGAATATTTCCTCAAATGTATGGCCAAGTGGGGTGGATCCTTTTCGTTGGCTGCCATATATTCTTCCACCAAAATATCATTCATTCTATATTTAGAGGACATGGCAAATATTTGCAACCAATCATAATCTGTCGGTTCCGTTTCATTATTGGCTGGCAATAGCCAATTTATTCCCTCCATCTGGTTCAAAAAATCCATGTAATCTTTGGCAGCAAATGGCTGGGAAGCAACACAGGACTTGTATAGATCTAGAAACTTTTTGGCGAATTTTGGTTTATTTTGCATTGCAATGGGGTTTTCCAACTCTGCCCTCACAGCCATGGTGATATTGTACTCCAACATCTCCGAAAAGTGGAGGTAATTTTTTTCTTGATGTAACCCCCAATTACCACAACTATATTCATTGAAGTCTTTACAGGGTTCAATATCCATTTTCACGAATTTCGCAAGAAATTTCTGTTGCTCCATATTGATGACCTCTGCTGTAGGATGAGCCATACATAGGTGGCTGGATATGGCCATAGCAAAAGCAAATAAAATTTGCAATAATTTCATGTTTGTTCTAATTTTCTTGTTCCACTTTGATTTTTTTTTTGGTTTTCGTATTCTTGGCTCCACTTTCTAATACTAAATAACTAAGACTGAGAAGACTTGCAAGTAATTCGCGAAAATATATAAAAAATTTGCAGATAGTCCAAATTAGGGGCCATGCATTCTGGGTCATTATTTAATCATCATCATTATCAATATTTTTGCAAATAACATTTGAAAAACACCAAATGTTTTTCTAGATTCAGAATACTTTTACTAAAAATGTTGTTCATACTCACATGCCTTTTTATTCAATATAAACTGCTAAAAAGACTCGTCGCACAGTGGGGTAAGATCGTAAAAAACGTAAATTAATGAAGCAATGATTTTTTAAATTTTTATTATTACTCCTTGGTTGATTGGTACTGAAAGTGTCCCAGTCTCACTATCACATTAAATTAACTTTCAAATGATCACTAGTTATTTTTAAGGATTCATATCAAGTGTATCTAAATTTTATTCAGGATAATAAACGTAATTAAATAAAAGTGCAGTGAAATAACTGATCAGGAACTGAACTGACGTCTTGGTGAGTAGACTGGGTTTTTGGAAATTCGTACTGAAAGGGTACGAAAAGTACTAAAATGTTCTAGAAACTTAACACTTTGTATTGGGCAAACGGAATGAACTAGAATTCTGAAATTTGCAATGAGAGTGACTGATGGATTGCAAATTCTAAAAAGGATAAAGCTAAAAACATTAAAGTTTTGGCATGAGAATCACGGTTGGAAATGTAGTTTGATATATGAAAGGGGTTTTGGAAAATGTGTATGTTAGTGTACGAACTGAACTGTACTGTACGTCACCTGTCAAATGTCAGCTGTCACCTGTGATCTGTCAAATGTCAGCTGTGACCTGTCAAATGTCAGCTGTGACCTGTCAAATGTCAGCTGTGACCTGTCAAATGTCAGCTGTGACCTGTCAGCTGTCATCTGTCACATGTCAGCTGTGACCTGTCAAATGTCAGTTGTCACCTGTCAAATATCAGCTGTGACCTGTCAAATGTCAGCTGTCACCTGTCAGCTTTGACCTATCAAATGTCAGCTGTCATCTGTCACATATCAGCTGTGACCTGTCAAATGTCAGCTGTCACCTGTCAGCTTTGACCTGTCAAATGTCAGCTGTCATCTGTCACATATCAGCTGTGACCTGTCAAATATCAACTGTCACCTGTCAAATGTCAGCTTCGACCTGTCAAATATCAGCTGTGACCTGTCAAATGTCAGCTGTCACCTGTCAAATGTCAGCTGTGACCTGTCAAATGTCAGCTGTTACCTGTCAAATGTCAGCTGTGACCTGTCAAATGTCAGCTGTCACCTGTCATATGCCAGCTGTCAACTGTCAAATGGCCATAACTCCTTAAATATTAAGTTTTCGGTGTTTTTAGCTATTATTTGTGGTCAGTTATTTAAGCATGAATTATCGAAAACTTTGAAATGGCCATAACTCCTTAAATATTGAGTTTTCGGCGTTCTTAGCTATTGTTTGTCATCAGTTATTTACGCATGAATTACTGAAAACTTTAAAATAGCCATAACTCCATAAATATTGAGCTTTCAGCGTTGTTAGCTATTATTTGTGATCACTTTTTTAAGCATGAATTATTGAAAACTTTAAAATGGCCATAACTCCCTAAATATTGAGTTTTCAGCGTTGTTAGCTATTATTTGTTATCATTTTTTTAAGCATGAATTATCGAAAACTTTAAAATGGCCATAACTCCTTAAACATTGAGTTTTCGGCGTTTTTAGCTATTATTTGTGATCAAAATGGCCATAACTCCTTAGTTATTGAGTTTTCAGGGTTTTTAGCTATTATTTTTGATCACGTGTTTAAGCATGAATTATCGAAAACTTTAAAATGGCCATAACTCCTTAAATATTGAGTTTTCGGCGTTTTTAGCTATTATTTGTGATCAGTAGTTTACGCATGAATCATCGAAAACTTTAAAATGGCCATAACTCCTTAAATATTGAGTTTTCGGCGTTTTTAGCTATTATTTGTGATCAGTTATTTACGCACGAATTATCGAAAACTTTAAAATGGCCATAAAGCCTTAAATATTGAGTTTTCGGGGTTTTTAGCTATTATTTGTGGTCAGTTATTTTCGCATGAATTATCGAAAACTTTAAAATGGCCATAACTCCTTAAATATTGAGTTTTCGGCGATTTTAGCTATTATTTGTGATCAGTTATTTACGCATGAATTATCGAAAACTTTAAAATGGCCATAACTCCTTAAATATTGAGTTTTCGGCGTTTTTAGCTATTATTTGTGATCAGTTATTTACGCACAAATTATAGAAAACTTTAAAATGGCCATAACTCCTTAAATATTGAGTTTTCGGCGTTTTTAGCTATTATTTGTGATCAGTTATTTTCGCATGAATTATCGAAAACTTTAAAATGGCCACAACTCCTTAAATATTGAGTTTTCGGCGTTTTTAGCTATTATTTGTGATCACTTTTTTAAGCATGAATTATCGAAAACTTTAAAATGGCCATAACTCCTTAAATACTGATTTTTCGGGGTTTTTAGCTATTATTTGTGATCAGTTATTTTCGCATGAATTATCGAAAACTTTAAAATGGCCATAACTCTTTAAATATTGAGTTTTCGGCGTTTTTAGCTATTATTAGTGATCACTTTTTTAAGCATGAATTATCGAAAACTTTAAAATGGCCATAACTCCTTAAATATTGAGTTTTCGGCGCTTTTAGCTATTATTTGTGACCAGTTATTTACGCATGAATTATCGAAAACATCAAAATGGCCATAACTCTTTAAATATGGAGTTTTCGGGGTTTTTAGCTATTATTTTTGATCAGTTATTTACGCACAAATTATAGAAAACTTTAAAATGGCCATAACTCCTTAAATATTGAGTTTTCGGCGTTTTTAGCTATTATTTGTGATCAGTTATTTACGCATGAATTATCGAAAACCTTAAAATGGCCATAACTCCTTAAATATTGAGTTTTCGGCGTTTTTAGCTATTATTTGTGATCAGTTATTTTCGCATGAATTATCGAAAACTTTAAAATGGCCATAACTCTTTAAATATTGAGTTTTCGGCGTTTTTAGCTATTATTAGTGATCACTTTTTTAAGCATGAATTATCGAAAACTTTAAAATGGCCATAACTCCTTAAATATTGAGTTTTCGGCGCTTTTAGCTATTATTTGTGACCAGTTATTTACGCATGAATTATCGAAAACATCAAAATGGCCATAACTCTTTAAATATGGAGTTTTCGGGGTTTTTAGCTATTATTTTTGATCAGTTATTTACGCACAAATTATAGAAAACTTTAAAATGGCCATAACTCCTTAAATATTGAGTTTTCGGCGTTTTTAGCTATTATTTGTGATCACTTTTTTAAGCATGAATTATCGAAAACTTTAAAATGGCCATAACTCCTTAAATATTGAGTTTTCGGCGTTTTTAGATATTATTTGTGATCACTTTTTTAAGCATGAATAATCGAAATCTTTAAAATGGCCATAACTCCTTAAGTATTGGGTTTTCGGCGTTTTTAGCTATTATTTGTGATCAGTTATTTACGCATAATTTATCGAAAACATTAAAATGGCCATAACTCCTTAAATATTGAGTTTTCAGCGTTTTTAGCTATTATTTGTGATCAGTTATTTACGCATGAATTATTGAAAACTTTAAAATGGCCATAACTCCTTCAATATTGAGTTTTCAGCGTTTTTAGCTATTATTTGTGATCACTTTTTTAAGCATGAATTATCGAAAACTTTAAAATGGCCATAACTCCTTAAATATTGAGTTTTCGGCGTTTTTAGCTATTATTTGTGATCACTTTTTTAAGCATGAATTATCGAAACCTTTAAAATGCCCATAACTCCTTAAATATGGAGTTTTCGGGGTTTTTAGCTATTATTTGTGATCAGTTATTTACGCATGAGTTATCGAAAACTTTAAAATGGCCATAACTCCTTAAATATTGAGTTTTCGGCGTTTTTAGCTATTATTTGTGATCAGTTATTTTCGCATGAATTATCGAAAACTTTAAAATGGCCATAACTCTTTAAATATTGAGTTTTCGGCGTTTTTAGCTATTATTAGTGATCACTTTTTTAAGCATGAATTATCGAAAACTTTAAAATGGCCATAACTCCTTAAATATTGAGTTTTCGGCGCTTTTAGCTATTATTTGTGACCAGTTATTTACGCATGAATTATCGAAAACATCAAAATGGCCATAACTCTTTAAATATTGAGTTTTCGGCGCTTTTAGCAATTATTTGTGATCAGTTATTTACGCACAAATTATAGAAAACTTTAAAATGGCCATAACTCCTTAAATATTGAGTTTTCGGCGTTTTTAGCTATTATTTGTGATCAGTTATTTACGCATGAATTATCGAAAACCTTAAAATGGCCATAACTCCTTAAATATTGAGTTTTCGGCGTTTTTAGCTATTATTTGTGATCACTTTTTTAAGCATGAATTATCGAAAACTTTAAAATGGCCATAACTACTTAAATATTGAGTTTTCGGCGCTTTTAGCTATTATTTGTGATCACTTTTTTAAGCATGAATTATCGAAACCTTTAAAATGCCCATAACTCCTTAAATATTAAGTTTTCGGCGTTTTTAGCTATTATTTGTGATCAGTTAGTTACGCATGAATTATCGAAAACTTTAAAATTGCCATAACTCCTTAAATATTGAGTTTTCGGCGTTTTTAGCTATTAT